TGGCATATGCCTGTAACTGGGAAGACCAAGGCAAATGGATTACCGTGAGTTCAAGACCAGCCTAAGGTACCAAGTAAGAGCTTGATGTATCTAAAAAAGAGATAATAAAACTTTTAAAAATTAAAAATAACAGCAATAAACTCTGGTTAAGACATGTATGCCCAAGTTTGGTGGGCATTTCTTTGATATTTTTCTTTTGCAATCCATAGAATTATCAGCTGATGTATGGATAAGGGGCTAGAATCTGTGATAAAGTCCCTGGGGTCAGATGTTATGCTACAACTACAGTAGTGAGCATAAAATTCTATCTCCACGCTTGACAATTTTCCCAACAGAATGTTGAAGAAACCAAAGAGGAAAGTGATGTTCCAGTGGGTTTGGAGGAAAGACTGCTGTGATCTAAGCAAAGCAATGTTTTCAGTAAGAAGAACATGGGCCTAGCAGCCCCAGGCTTGAACTCTGCTTCTGGGTCGAATTTGGGTGGACTGCTCAGGTGTGGTGCCAGGATTTGAGCCTTGCTGCCCACAGTGCAGTGATTGGTGCGGGCTCCTGGCTCAGTCTGGCACATGTGGCGTTTTGGGCGCTTAGATGGTAGCTGTTCTTAGTGTCCTTTAGGCTGTTCAGAGTCAAGAAGTCCAGGTTACCCATGCTCCACCTAGAGGGCTCACACCGCTCCCCAGTCAAACTCAGACAAACTGGAGACTGAAGCTATTTATGCCCGAGATGGTTGGTTTACCTTTAGGCGAGCAGAACCGTGGGCTCAGATATGAGTATTTCAGATATTTCCACCAGGTTCCGTCAGTCGCTTCAGCTTTCCCATGCTGGCATCGCTGCAGATCCGCAGGCAAAGACACAAGCTCTTCCTTCACAGACTTCACCTTCCTAAAGGGTTTGGGGAATCATCTTTCCTCTTCAGAGGAGGGAACAGGTGTTCACCAGTAGGAAGGGGTGGCATTCGGCATCTTTTGGATGTCCCTGACACCATGCTGTATTGGACAATAATTTCCCCAGCTTTCCCGCAGTCCATCTGTCTTGTAGTTTCTTCTGAGAACTTCCATCTGGAGTTGGAACAACTTACAGAAGCCACTAATGATTAAGTTTTGAAACATACCCTTGGGTTTCTAAAATGGCCCCAGCGTGGATGACAATAGGTGCTTCTCCGGGTGTGCACAGGACGGGGCAACTCCAGACGAGTTCATCACCTGTGTAAAGTGAGGGACGTCGACCCCACCTTCTGGCTGCATACATGAATCATGGAGGCTGTGACTTGTACCCTTCTAGGGTGTGTATTTCTTGGGATTACTCATCCCACTCATTCCAGCAGAGTGGGAGGTCGGTTAGTAAAAGACTTTATTGAACCAGGTTCTCTGGGAGTGAGTCATTTTCCGGCAGTGTGACAAGGTGCCAGGAAGAACACCCAACTCCATCAGCTTGCAGGACTAAAGTGCAAGGAATCCCTGGGTCTGAGGCTGCGTCCTAACTGTTCAGTGAGCGAGCGGCACAGTCAGTCAGACACTGAGAACTTTGAGAAAATGTATCGGAAAATTATGTCCATCTTGATCCAACCCTGAGGACTTATTTTAATAACGTAGATGGTTGAGAGATTTGTCAAATATTATTCTTGGTATTCTGTTTTGAAAAAATTCTTAGACACTACCCTTGTGAGGAAGTCTGACATCTGGTAACTTCAGATGCCTGGAAGACAGCCAGAAATGACAAAGGGGTCTCAGAGCACGTGAGCAATGTAGGGAGCCTCTGGTGCCAATGTGCATCCTTTACCTCTGCAGGAGTCAGCCTGCCATCTAGAGTTGGCTTACTTTTATTTTCTGGGAACTTTTAGCAATGTTGATGCTATGGGTTGTAAACAGCGAACTAGAATATAGATTGAATTGGATATGGTGGCATCTTTAGTCCCAACATTTGGGAGGCAGAAGCAGGTGGATCTCTATACATTCAAGGCTAGGCTTGTCTACATTGCAAGTTCCAGCATGGGCTGCACAGTAAGACTCTGTCTCAAAAAAAAATTAAAATTAAAAGAGTGGAAAAACTGATTGGAGGGGGAGATGGCTGAAAAGATAATTCGCTGGTTGAGAGCACTGGCTGCTCTTCTGGAGGACCCAGGTTCAGTTCCTAGCACCCACATGGCAGTTCACAACCATCTGTAACCCCAGTTCCAGGGGATCTGACACCCTCTTCTAGTTGGCGCCAGACACACATATAGGACATACATATAGGCAAAACACCCATATGCGTAAAATAAAAATAGATAAATCTATTTAAAAAATGAGGCTGATGAAGGAGATGGGCTGAAAGCAGAGCAGGCTGGCACCACAGGAGGAAGGCCTGGGGGCTTGTAACCGTCAAGGACAGCGGCCATGGTTAAGTCAGCACAGGACTGTATGGCTGCAGGAATGAACTTGCTTCTGGAAGTCTGAGTAAGCCATGTTCATTTGGTATCTTCTTTGGGAGATGTCAGAAAGACACAAAATGTGGCTGTATAGTCCAGGCTGGTCTAGGACTCAAAGTTCTCCTGTCTCAGCCTTCTGAGTTCTGGGATTCATGGGCATGTACCATCACACTCCACCCCATGTGCGTGTTCTTAAACATGGTCAAAATTACATTAACCATGTTGAAATAGGACGTATTGAAGTGTCTGTCTGCTTGAAGACAGTACATTCTCTGGTGGTCGGTGGCACAGATTTGAACTTGTCGTTAATTATGGAAGTGACTTATAATAGACACTGATGTTTATTGAGAAGCTACTGTGCCTGTCATGTCCTCGGCACATTCGTACAGCGAGGCTTTGGTGACAGGCGTTTGGATTCCCATTCTTTCTCTGACTTCCTGAGTGACCTTAGAATTTATCACTTCTTCGAGCCTGTGTCCTCATCTGCCCAATGGGAACTGATGACACACGTCATTGTGAGGACTCATTGATGTGGTACACGGTACAGTGTGTAGCATGAGGAAGCACTGTGTAGATGTTGGTCACTGATCTTTGTCACCATAGTCATCCTCATGACGATCACTGTGAACGTATTAATATCTTTGTCTCTCAGGTCATGGAAACGGAAGACCCGAGAGTGTAAGTGACTGTGCAGGCAATAAGCTAATGAGTAGTAAAGCTGGGGTTTGAATGCCACCCTCTGTCACGGCAGAAGCCTGGTATTTTATGTGCACACTATGTATCTTCAAAGTATATTTATATAAATACTAGGTTTGGTTCGTTTGGTTTTTTTTTTTTCCCCCGTTTGTTTTGCTTTTAAAACAGGTTCTCACTATGTAGCCCTGGCTTACCTAGAGCTCATTATATAGAGCAGTCTGATATCCAGCTCACAGAGACATGCTTGTCTCTCTGCCTCCTGAGTGCTGGAATTTAGGCACAGCTAATTAGAGGGTTTTAATAGATGCTCAGTAGTAGAACACTTGTGTGGGATGCGTGAGGCCCCGGGTTCTATGCAAAGCACCATGGAAGGGAAAGCGAAAGCAGAAATCCCGTGGTAGAAAGGGCGAGGAGTGCAGGGGCCACTTCTCTTTTACTGTAGCCCCAGTCATCTCATTACTGAAAAAGTCCCAGTGATACAAGAATAAACTACTTTGACCAAATGTGTAATGTTTAATTATCAAGCATGGTTAAAAAAATCAATATGCTGAACTATTTATTAGATGCTTCCTTCATTTTTTTCACACTAGTGAAAATCATAAACCACAGTTAAATCTATTTTATTATTTCCTTTCCATTAGGCATTTGTTTTTTTAAAAATATTTATATATACTTAATTTACTTTTGTGTGTGTGTGTGTGTGTGTGTGTGTGTGTGAACCATGTATATGTGGGTGCCCTCAGAGGCCAGAAGAGGATTTTGTTTGGATTCCCATGAGCTAGAATTATAAGCAGTTGTGAGTCACCTGACATGGATGCTGGCAACCAAACCTGTGTCTCCTAGAAGAGCAGTGAGTACTCTTAGCTGCTGAGCCATCCCTCCAGCCCCTGCTTCTCTCTCCTGTCATAGGTCCTGGGAATCAAACTCTGTTTGCCAGGCTTGGAGACAATCACCTTTATCAGATGAGCCATCTTACTGGCCTGTCTTGGTGCTTTTCGACGAGGCTAGTCATATTTGAGATGAAAAAAAAAATCTCCGCCTTCACCTACACCTAATGAGTCTTTGAGGAGCCTGGAGAGCCGGAGCCGCCCCCTGTGCAGCCCCTGGGAAGGCATTTGGAGAATGTTGGTCCAATCATGGCTGAGCATTTCCGAGTGAACACACACATATTTTCTAGTGTGTAGACACATTCTTAGCTCTCCAGCCCCCTGCACCAGGGCAATGGACCCATCATGCATTGCAGTGTAGTTCCGCAACAGTGCAGGTTGGAGCACAGGCGTCTCCAAACCAGAATCAAATGGTTGATCTGCTGGTACTAAATGTCCCCTAGAGACACCATCTCTGGCCCTTTCTCATTCTTTTCATGGACTTCCTCTGTTTTTCTGTGGGTTTTAAATCTTGGTGTTTGAGTCCTGTCCCTGCTGTACTGTGTCCTTGGACAAATTAGATTATCTAACTTGTAGAGTGCCGTTATCCTGGTCTTAGATTGTGGGAGGAAACAGACGGCATGCTGTGTGTGATGTAAAGTCTCTGGGTTTTAAATGCTGTATTTTGAAAGTACTGCATTGTCTAGAACTTTAATCATGGTAAAACGTCAGTAGCCTCACCTCCCTCTCGCGGCACTTTAAAGCCTCCCTTCCCCATCTTGAATCTTTTATCTCTATGGTCTGAGTCAGTTGTTAGTGTCTTGTTGTTTGTTTCCAATTCTAGACTCACACTGATAAGACACTAATTAAAATACACGAGGAAATCATTATTTTTAAATAAACAACTTTAGATTTTTTTTATTTTTTTATTGCTTCTATATTATCTTCATAGTTTAAGTTTTAGGTTTTTAAGAAACAGGTTTCTGGTGTGTCTGAAATATCTGTGTTTTCTCATGCTTTGGGCTTTCCAGGTTGTGAAGCATGGAGGCTGGCTCTGTGGTCCGAGCCATCTTTGACTTCTGCCCTAGCGTCTCAGAGGAACTGCCGCTCTTCGTGGGAGATGTCATTGAGGTGTTGGCCGTGGTGGATGAGTTTTGGCTTCTGGGAAAGAAGGAAGATGTTACAGGTAAGAGATACTCCTTCCACACCGGCCCCTCGCTCCTTCTGCCATGTCTTCCTTCTGTGCTCATCCATCCATCGCTCTGGCCTGTGAGGAGAGTTTCTGCCATTGCCCCATCTCTCCATATTGATTCCTTGTGGAGGCTGGGTGAGTGGACACTTCTGCCCCAGCCTAGTTTTCTGCCTGCCTTTCTCTTTCCCTTCCCAATGCTCTGTCTTTCAGGTCCAGTGCTCTTATTCCCCTCCTCAGAACGTACATTATACCTCTCTTCGCAACACTTGCTCTTTACCATCGCTCTTGGCAGCAGCCTGCCTTGGGTGAGCGGGATGGAAGTGTGCTCCACCTCATTCCTCTTTATCAGCTCCTGCTCCATCTTCCGTTCTTTTCAGGAGAGCCTGGTTTATTACTCAGTCCTTCCTAGATCTGCATTGGGAACAATTAATTAAAGCCACCCTCTGTCTTGGATGCTCCTGTCTCCCACGTTTGTGCTTCTGGCTATCCTTCTATTTCTGAGATTCATGTTGCCATGGTTTCTTCCATTAACTACTATTAATGGGGAATGGCAGACCTTTCATCACACATCACTTTAGTCCTTAATTTACACGTGCTTGTATGCATCTGGAGTGTGTGCTGTAGTTCTGAGTAGGTGCTCTGAACACTTACCAACTTTGGGGAATTCACAGATTATAGTCTAGTAGAAGTGATGCTTCTGGTCAGATAAAACCAGTGAGGGGGTGTTCGCAGAGAGGATTGCTTGCTCAGTGGCCCTGACGTGCGTGAACACGGGAGCACTGAGGAAGCATGGGTAGGGCACCAAGTGGCTGTGGGATACAGAGGACAAAGGTGTGCGAGGTAAGAAGTTGAGGCGGCCAGAAACTGGTGCTTTTGACATCATCAGAGCAGTGTCTTAGAAATGCTGAAGCTGTTATTTTAAGAATGATGGGATGGAGGCCTGGAGAGATGGCTGGGTGGTTAAAAAGACTGTCTGCCCTTCCAGAGGATCTGGGTTTGATTCTCAGCATCTACCTAGCAACTCACAATAATCTAACTCTAGTTTCATAGGAGCCAATGCCCTCTTCTGGCCTGCACATGGTGTACAGACAAACATGCAGACCACACACACACACACACACACACACACACACACACACACAATAAAGCAATAATTAAAAAAGAAGAAGAAGAATGATTGGCTGGACCCTGGTGGCACACGCCTTTAATCCCAGCACTTGGGAGGCAGAGGCAGGCAGATCTCTGTGAGTTTGGAGTCAGCCTGCTCTACAGAGTGAGTTACAGGAGATTTATTGTCACCCAGGAGGCAGGTGTTGATGGCTTATACCAAGGCGGTATAGGTCTGGAGATGTGTGGGCAGATTCGGGAAACATCTCTTGTTCTCCTCCAGCTGGCAGGCCCTGTCTTCCTACACCACCTATAAAACTCTACCCATCTCAGACTGAACTGCTCTGCTTCATAAAAATCTTGTGTTTAAGCTAGGCAGTGGTGACACATGCCTTTATTCCCAGCACTCGGGAGGCAGAGACAGGCAGATCTCTGTGAGTTCGAGACCAGCCTGGTCTAAGAGTGAGTTCCAGGACAGGCTCCAAAGCTACAGAGAAACCTTATCTCAAAAAACCAACCAAACAAACAAAAACAGAAAAGCAAAAAAACAAAAACAAAAACAAAACCCAAAACAACAACAACAAAACACCTGTGTTCCTTCCAGCCTCCTCTGAACCTCTATGGCTAGTGTGTAGTGATGTGACTTGGGCTTCAGGATTCTATTATCCTTTTTGTCTAAGTAGATTTTCAGATCTCTGAAGACCAAGACCACCCAACTCACATTTCCCTCTTCAGTGAACCTGCTAGAGTGCCAGTGGTTAATGCTTACTTAGGTATTGTGTGTATGTATGCACACACACACACACACACACACACACAAGTGTATATGTGGAGAGCACAGGACAGCTTGCAGGATTCATTTCTCTCCTTGTACCATGGGGACCTGGGAGTCTAACTCAGGTTGTCAAGCACGGCAGCTTGTGCCTTTACCTGCTGAACCCTCTCACTGGCCCAATAAATGCTCTTAAATTGTATTCTCTGCCCTCTGTATACATCTTATTCTGTGCTATGCACTTCTATAGTAAATTCTCTAATTATTAGCATTAGGTCAATTTTAATTCAGAATTTGTAAATGAACTCAGAAAGAAGTTGTCCTTGTACACAAACACAGAGAGAAAATTTAATATTAAAAGAGCACTCAGTGCTTAACATGTGCGTCTGTCTTTCAGGACAGTTTCCCAGCAGTTTTGTGGAGATTGTGACGATCCCCAGTCTGAAGGAGGGAGAGAGTCTGTTTGTTTGCACCTGCGAATTCACATCTCGAGAGCTGAACAGTCTTTCTCTCCATCGAGGTAAGAGCGCATCAGAGACCTGCGGAATCTTGACATAAGGTCTTTAGAGATGCTTTCCCCGGAGAGTCCTCTCTGCAGTCTGCAGCACTGATGGAGTGCGGCCGAGAGCGAGGCCTTGTGTTAGTAGGGCTTGATCATTTTCATGGGATTTTCTCAGGTATTCTTTTATTAATTTAGATTATTTTTAATTTTTTTGAGACAGGTTCTTACTATATATACCTGACTGGCTTGGAACTTCATATATAGGTCAGGCTGGCCTCAAACTCACAGAGATCCACCTGCCTCTGTCTCCCCAGTGCTGTGGACACTTTAGACAGTGCTAATCTCTTTTCCAGAAAGTCTACCTTGTATGATTTTCCTGACAACATTGCTACTTACTAATGTGCAATAGGGAAGCAGTAATTTTGATGTGACCACTGAGACAGACGCAAGACCGCCCCCTTTCTGTGCCTCCATCGGGCAGTGTAAAAGTTCTCGTGAGAACCAGTTTAAACAGATGGCGTTAGCCCATCCCCAGGATGCTTCAAATATTTCTCACCATTGTACTCTAACAGGCACGGACTTCCAAAGATGGGTAGGAAATCATTTCCACAGGTCCACCTGGTTAAGCCCACACCCTTCTGCATAAGCACAGAGACGAACCAATAGTGCTGCAGCCTGAGGCTTGTGACCCACACAGTTTTGTGATGTCCCAGTCAACATACCACAATAGAACACAAGTTGTGTTGTTTGTATTGTAACTGTTCTTTTAGTTACAATGCTGAAGACACAGGCTTAATTCTTACACACACACACACACGGTGGGGAACCGAGACCTAGCAAACTTCTGTAGCCCCTAGTCAGTGAGAGGAAAAGAATATTGGATTTTTTTTTTTTTTTGGTGTTTATCCTTAAGACCTGTCTTGTGAGTTTCTTGCCTGTTAGTCTTTGCCTTTTCCTCTGGTTTGTAGACTTCTTGCTATTCAGGGTTGGGAAGACAGTGCAAACTAGACAGGGAGCTTATAGCAGGATCTTTGTCCTCGCTCACAGCTGTCCCAAGGTGGTCTGGAGTCCAGGGCAGGCCTCCCCAGGTAGGAGGGGAGAAGGACAAGAGCCTGTCGGTGTCTCTGCCCGCCATACACAGGATGTGACAGCATGGACGCTTGTTTGTGCTGGTGTTGGAGGCTGAGCAGTCGGCACAGAAGCCGTCGACCACCGAGTCACAGCTCCAGCTTTAGCACAGGCCTTTGCTTTCCTCATCCTGGATCAAGCTGAAAACAACAGGGAGAAGGGTGAATTGTGTGGAAAAAACAGTGTGTATTTAATAATATGAAGAACTTGAAGGAATAACTGCTAGAATTAGTTTTACTTCAACATACGTTTATGGTCAAGTCTTAGGATTCAAAAAAATTTTAAAAAGCATACAATTTTCTGCTGAAACCAGCACTGAGAAGATTCATATGATGTTCTGGGCTGGCTCTAAATTAAAATCTGTCTGAGGAAAGCAGGGCCCCTGAGAGGTTCTCTGGAAGACCCAGGCACTGACCTTTTAGCCATGAGTCACCTGAAGCACGAGTGAGTAAGCCAGGCCGGGCTGAACTTTGCTTGTTTTCCCTTATGTGTATGTGTCTGTGCACGTGTGTAAGCATGTGTGTGTGTGGTGACCATCTGTGCATGGCTGTGCATACATCTGTGTGTGTGTACACATCTGTGCACAGCTGTCCAGATGCCTGTGAACGTCAGAAGAGGACATCGGTTCCTGGACACAGAAGCTAAAGAGGTTGTGAGTCACTCTTTGTGGATACTGGGAACTGAACTCTGGTCTTCTGCGTGAACAGCAAGCCCTCTTAACCGCTAAGCTGTTTCTCCAGTCCTGAGCCTGTAGATCTTAATTAAAAAATAAAAATATCTTATGTGTGGGAGATTTTAACTGTGTATATGTTTGTACACCATGCTTATGCCTGGTGCCTGCAGAAGCCTGAAGAGGGCATAAGATTCCCCTGGAACTGGTGTTACAGATGTTGTGTGCTGCCTTGTGGATACAGGAAACCAAATTCCATCAATCACTAATTAGGAAAATGCACTTCAGCCAGATTAAATGTTTTCGTTTGTTTCTTTGTTTGTTTTGGTGGCTTTTTTTTTTTCCGAGACAGGGTTTCTCTGTGTATCCTTGGCTGTACTGGAACTCACTTTGTAGACCAGGCTGGCCTTGAACTCAGAGATCTGCCTTCCTCTCCTCCTGGATGCTGGGATTAAAGGCATGTGCCACCACTGCCAGGCTTACAGTGGGATCTTATGGAGGCATTTTCTCCCTTGGGGTTTCCTCCTTGCAGGTAACTCTAGCTTGTGACAAGTTGACATAGGGTAGCCAGCACAGCAGTGGACTGGCTTCTCTTGAGTGCTCACAAAACTTCAGTGATGAATAAACCGGGAGGCCTGGAGACTTTCAGGAGTATTGGGGTGCTGCGTGTGGTTCAGTTGGTAGAGTGCTTTGCTAGAATGCACAAAACCCTGGGTCCAGTCTTACCCACGTGATGGTGTATGCCAGTGCCTCTCAGCACTCAGGAGGTAGAGACAGAACAAACTGAAATTTAATGGTCTTCCTCCATACTGCCAGCCTAGGATACACGAGAGCCCTGCTGTGTTTTTATCATACTGACTTTTCAGTTGTTATCTAATTACACTTAAGAAGTATCGATATGATTAATAAGAGCAGCTGGAGAGATGGCTCGGTGGTCAAGTGCACTCTGCTTTTCCAGAGGACCCAGGTTCAATTCTCAGCACCCATGTGGAGGCTCACAACTGTCTGTATCTTCAGTTCTAGAGGAACTGACACCCTCTTCTGGCCTCTTTAGGACTGCTCACACATGGTACACAGACATCCATGAAATACACCTATATACACAAAATAAAAATACATAAAATCGCCAAAGAGAAAAATTGTGTGTGTGTATCAGTAATTTGTGTTTGTGTTTTGAGTAGTATAAAAGCAGGTAATATGGCTTAGAAGATAGGAATTCTGATGGTCCTAGATTTAAATCCGTCTTTGCATATAGTAGCTGTGATGTTGGGCTAGCCTTCTGTAAAGGCTGAAGATGACAGTATCCACCTCAGGGTAGCTGTTAGGACCAAGGAGGTTATAGTGTAAACCAGGCAGGGGAAGCACCCTGGGGCTCCCGAGGCCCTGCTGTGCCATCGTTCTGCGAAGCTGGTGTGTGCAGATGTCTGCCAGCAAGTCATCAGTAATTCTTCCAGCAGGTGTCACCCTTCCTCCCTTTCCTGAAGCTACCCAATTGGTTTGGACTGTTCTTCGTGTTTTGGGTTCAGAAACAAAACTGTCTTCTAGAAGAGTCATAATTAGTGTCTAGAGTCACCAACTATCAAAGAGAGAGAGAGAGAGAGAAACAAAAAGTGAAGAAAATGGGAAAGAAAGGAAGGAAGGAAGGAAGAAAAGGAAAAGAACATGTCAAGAGAAAGACAAAAGATCAGGAGATTGAGAGCAAGAAAGGACTGTATATTATGGGATATCACCCATCATTTCCTCGTATAACACACAGTGCTTATGGCTGTCTACACCTAGCATTTCTAGGCAACCTCCTCTCAAAAGGCTAATAGCATAAATGATACTTTATAAATAAGTTGCTGGTTGATCTTTATCAGTTGACGCACAAGGACTTTAGATTTTAATGCCATGGGATGAAGTGTCAGGATAAGGAACCAAAAGAAAATACATGATCTGCACAAAGCATAGGCCCCCGGGCCGCTAGTGCCAGGAGTGGAGTCAGGGGAGAGCGAACCCTGCAGAGCCAGACCACGCTTGTATCAGAGTCTAACAAGGCCTGCATTCCTTCCTGTAATCTCACTTCCAATCCACTTCCTGTTCAAACAAAAATTCCATCCAGAGAAACAGGCAGTATGTCTGGGAGTAGTCACATTTGACCCCGAGGGTCACCGCAGTTTCTTCTTTCCTGTTCCCAAACCTGGCCCCACCATTCCAGGAATTCTTTATGTTGGTGTTTCTGAAGCCTAGAACCGCTGGGTAGCCTCCAATCCTAAAGAATAACTCAGGACGCCAGGGAAATGGCTTGCTTGACTATTTAAAACAAGAGATTTTTTTTTTGATAACAAAAACCAGAGAAACCACCACAACAACAGACCCACCCCAGGGACAGTTAGGCCTATAAAATAAAGGTAGTCACCAAGTATGGGGAAAAACAAATGAAAAAAAATCAAAAAACGTAAGGGAGGGGGTGTTGAATTAAAGTGCCATGGAAATTGTGTGTGTTGGTGGGCGAGGGCACACCGTCTTGTTTTGTCCTGAGAACCCTCCTTCATGATCGATGAATAAGCAGCAGAGCTACTGCCCGGAAACAAAGCTCATCAAAACCGCCGTTGGAATAGACAGGAAAACAAGCCCTATTGTCCAAGTTCGTGAGCGCTGGCCAGACCCAGAGCACTGTCATTCTGCAGCCTGAAGTGAACGAGGCATTTCAGAGCGAGCAGAGTGGGACTTATGGCATGCTTTGATTTTCCTATTCACCAAGAGGCCCATTGTGTCTGAGCAGTCATGTCTCCAGTGACTTCCCTCTGTGGCCTGGATGGCTGGGCGGCCTTGAGCCACTGGGGGAGGGGCACTTGTCATTCTCAGAACCCAAAGCTTTGTCCAGTGCATGTGGGTTCAAAAGTTAAGGACTGCAGGAATATGGGAGCAGTTTTAGGTGTCTAAGTGCAGTAAAGTCAAGTCAGGAAATATGGGGCGTCTGCCACTAAGTCTAAAATGTTATGTTATGTGCCGTGCACTGTGCCAGCATACAAATGCCGGGACTGAAGAGAGAAGAGAGTTCTTTGGTTCTGAGGAGCTGTTGTGAGCTCCTAAGATTTTTCCAAGGAAGCCTGCTAAGGTTTCAAATGCAGAGAGAGTAGCAATTATTGTGTTTTTACTCTTTTACTCTTTGAGGGGCCTGCCACTCAGCTCCCAAATAAATACACGGAGAGACATATTCTTACTTATGAATGCCCAGCCTTAGCTCGGCTTGTTTCTAGCCAGCTTTTCTAACTTAAATTATCCCCATCTACCTTTTGCCTCTGGGCTTTTCCCTTTTCTTACTTCTGCATATCTTTCTTTCACTCTTACTCCATGGCTGGCTGGGGCCCCTGAGGTCCTCCTCCTCTCTGAAGTTTTCCTTTCATTTGTCCTCTCTGCCTGCCAGTCCCGCCTATCCTTGCTCCTGCCTCCCTATTGGCTGTTCAGCTCTTTATTAGGACCATCAGGTGTTTTAGACAGGCAAAGAATTACAGCTTCACAGAGTTAAACAAATACAACATAAACGAAAGCACACACCTTAAAATAATACTCCCAACAAGGAATAGTAAAGATTTGGAGTTTGGTAGGATGTGGTGGTACATCTTAATGCAAGCACTTAGAAGGCTGAGGCTGGAGGGTTGCAAGTTTGAAGCCAGTCTGAGATACATCGTGAGACCCTGTCTCAAAAGCAAACAAAGTAAAAAAGAAAGAAAAGAAAGAAAGAAAGAAAGAAGAAAAAGAAAATTCCCTTGTGTGAGATTTGCCAGGGTCTGGTATCATAGAACAGAGAGGTTGGGTCTGGTTAAATTGAGCACAAGCTTGAATGGAGAGAAAACAGAATGGCCTGTTGTTAAAGAAACACTTCTGAGTGTATGCAGAACAAGCACGTTGTATTGAAGGCAGACAATAAGAAAGGGGTTGTTCCCAGCACATGGGAGTCTGAGGGAGGAGAATTGAGACAAGGTCCAGGCCAGCCTGTGTTCCCGAGTGAGACCCTATCTCAGAAAACAGAGAAGGGTTACTAGGGAAGAACTTGGTGAGCAGTAGGCCATTGTGCCTCGTGACTGAAGTTTTAGCAAGAGGATGCAGTAAAATTGGCACATTTATAATCATTTGATGGGCTGGAAGAAAAATGTTCGGGGTAAAATTCAAAAGGAAAGACAGTGGGAATTAAATTTTACTAGGGTATTAGCAAAGAGAAATAATAAATGGAAGAAATGTCTTGGAAAAGGAAATTAGAGGGAACAAGGAAGTTATCAGTGGGAGCCAATTTTAGATACAGGAGAGAATGAATTTGGGAGCTGAAGCTAAAGAACAATCATTATTAACAAATGGACACTGAGTGTTCATCTGCACAAGGCAATATCAATATCAGTGATCTAAAGATACAGAAGAGATGTGCACCCATCCCTACATCACTTGCATGCACTTGAGAAGATAGGGCACACAATCTTTTGAAAAGTCAGGAACCAGGCCGAGAAGTTGAGTGCTGACTGCTCTTGCAGAGGACCCGGGTTCTGTTCCCAGCACCTACACAGTGACCCACCACCACCTAGAATTCTAGTTCCAAGGGATCTGACTTCCTCTTCTGTTCTTCTCAGGCACTGCGTGCAACTGATGCATAGACATACCTGCAGGCAAACACCAATACATACAAAATAAAAGGAATCAAGTCAAGAACATAAAAGATAGCCCTTCTCCAATGCATTTGCCAGTAAACCATGCGCTGCTGTCTCTTACTGTTTGCCCCTGTTCTGTATCCCTCAAGCGGCTCCGTTCAGGAGATTGGGACCCCTACACAGACCTGGGTGGGAGGAGCTAAAAGCAAGATTAAAATTAGTAATCCACAAAATGAATATCCATAATTACATAATGAAGTGTTTGTTATAAAGCAGTTGATTATGGAACTATGGAATGTGTTTTTAAACTGTAATGAATCTAAACACTAAGACCAATGTGACTTTTTGGTTTATATTTTGTGACAATAACCCGAAGTACTGGTTATTTGCAGCAACAAAATAGCAGGTCCCTGGAATTCTTTTTAAGATCTATAGGGCCAGCGAGGTGGCTGAGCAGGTGAAGGTACTTGCTGCCAATCCCAACCTCCTGACTCCGTCTTCAGGCCTCACGTGGTAGGAGGAGAGCACCTTCACGAGCATACATGCAAACCCAGCTCTCAGGCTGAGGCATGAGAACTGTAGCGAAAGCCCGGGCTGCACAGCACAGTCCTGTCTGTTGGCCATAGTGCTATTCCCTGGGTTCTGGCCAAGGCTCTAACTTCTGCTTCTTTCTCAGGAGACCTGGTGGTTCTCGATGGCGCTCCCACTGCAGGATGGCTGCAGGGCCGAAGCTGTTGGGGTGCCCGGGGCTTCTTCCCATCGTCCTGTGTTCGTGAGCTCTGCCTCTCCTCTCAGAGCCGACAGTGGCACTCACAGAGTGCATCGCTTCAGGTTCCAGAATACTCCATGGGACAAGCGCGGGCCCTCATGGGGCTGTCTGCCCAGTTGGACGAGGAACTGGACTTCAGGGAAGGAGATCTGATTACCATTATCGGAGTTCCTGAGCCAGGCTGGTTTGAGGGAGAGCTGGAGGGGCGGAGAGGCATTTTCCCAGAAGGTTTTGTAGAGCTTTTGGGACCCCTGAGGACTGTGGATGAGTCGGTAAATTCTGGAGGTGGAGACAGCTGCCTTGCTAATGGTGATGTAGACATCTCCACCAAAGAAACAGAGAGCGGGGCCGACGAGGATGACCACCCGTCAGGGACCTATGGACTTGCCCTCTACAGATTCCAAGCCCTGGAGCCAAATGAGTTGGATTTTGAGGTAGGGGATAAAATCCAGATTCTGGGGACCTTGGAGGATGGCTGGCTGGAAGGACGTTTGAAGGGCAGGACAGGTATCTTCCCCCACCGCTTTGTGAAGTTATGTCCCGGCACCAGGACAGAGGAAACCGTGGTTCTGCCCTCGGAAGACAGCCTCCCTAAGAACTCTGACAACCCTGTGGATGGGTTGGAGACCTCAGTGGTGGAGGAGGCACAACTCGAACCACAGGAGACTGGAACAGACAGGCCTGACTGGGGTCTGTCTGAACAAACTCCTGCTCGCCTAGATCATGGGGTCCCTGAGGGTGTTGTAAGTGAGAACTCTGGCCAGGGTGAAGATGCCTCAGGAAGCTCCCCAGGTGTGGATCTTGATAGACCTCTGATTAAAGCCCCTTCCACACCTGACCCCTCAGAGACAGTCAATGGCATTTATTCCCAGCCTTGGGGACCTTGTCATCCCCAAATGCAGAAAAGCCAGCTTTCTTCCACAGCAGGAGAGAGCCGCCAGAGCTCAGACCCGTTCTCTGAGTTTGGCCCTCCTGAAGCCAGGACTAGGAACTACTCCAGCCTGCCTCCCAAAAGAACGTATGCCCAGGGTAGGTCCCTCCAGAAGTCAGCACCCCCACTTCACAGGGCCTCCTCCCTCGTGGCCTCTAGGATAGCCAAACCTAGCTACTTATGCCCTCCGGCTCTAGCCAGCTGTGCTCAGAAGCATCAAACATCTGCAGAAAATGCCTTCAGCCTCTATTCTGCACCAGAGAGACCAGAGAGGAGGCCTGGGCCGCCAGACAAGGGACCCTCCACAGAAGTAACCACAGCATCACAGGGGGACAGTGTTGACCTGGATTCCAAGTTGACCCAGCAGCTGATAGAGTTTGAGAAGAGCCTGTCCGGGCCCAGCACAGAGTCAGATAAAATTGTACGCCGCTTTTCAATTATGGACTTTAACTCTGAGAAGGACATTGTCAGAGGTTCCTCAAAGTCGGCACCATCACAGGATCTCCCAGAGAAGAAAAAGGCCCTGAGGCCACCCCCACCCAGGCCCTGTACCCCAACACCCACCTCTTCACACTTGCTGGTTGACCAAAGCTCCAAACCAGCACCCCCCTTGGCTGTGCGGCCCTCCCGCCCAGCTCCCCTGCCTCCTCCTGCGCAGCAGAGGATGAATACAGCCTCCCCCAAGCCCACCTTCTGTGCCAGTTGGGAGGCCCCAGAGAAGGAGGGTCCTGAGCACGTGGAGCAGGGCCCAGCCCAGACTTCTCCGTGCCCCTCTGTGTTGGCGAGGATTCAGGACGTGGAACACGACTTGGACATGTACACCAGGGCTCAGGAAGAGCTGACTTTGATGTTGGAGGACAAGCAGGATGAATCGCTGAGGGCAGAGACTTTGGAGAATCTCAAGTTCTATGAGAACACCATTCAGAGTCTGAACCTGGAGCTCCAGCAGCTGAGAGGTAAGTGACAGGAAACCGTGACCCTGGTTCCTGAACTGAGGCTCAAGGAGGGCCTCGTTATGTGAAAAACATCCTGGTCCACACAGCGATTTATGGTCTTGTCACCCAGTTTCTCATTCTGCATCTGTGACCACTGTGTCCCCTGACTTCACTTACTGCTCACTTAGAGAAGCTGTGTGCATTTTTGACACAGTACCTCTCTCTGCCACTGTGGCATTCACACTGCGTTGCAGATAGGAAGTCCCTAAATGAGACTTTTTAAACTGATGTCTTCAGGCCAAGTCTCCTGAGGAAATTAAAACTTGTATCTTTGTGACCAGGGGCTGTATGTCAGCAGTGATATCCCGTCTTTCTTACTTGTCGGCATTTGCCATGTGTTTACAGTCTTCGCAGCCCTCATGGAAGTACACGTAGGGATTGTTCAGATGGCCACTTTACAGAGGGAAGAACTAAGACCGAGCCGTTAAGTAACTTGCCGAGGGCTGAGGTTTTAAGCTGGTGATTTCACTAGTAGAGCTTTTCACTTCCCACCTTGTACATTCAAAAACGCATTTTCTGTGGCTAGTGTCTGAAGATGTGTGTGCGCATGGGGCAGGCACAGGTCTATGTGTAGGTATGCATACGTATGTTTGTATGTGTGTATAGGTCAGAAGTCAACCTTAGGTACTGTTCCTCAACTGCTGTCCCCTTGTTGTTTGAGATAGGGTCTTTCATTGGCCTAGAGTAGTGGTTCTCAACCTTCCTAATGCTATGACCCTTTAATACAACTCCTTGTGTTGTGGTGATCCCAGCCATAACATGTATTTTGTTGTTACTTCATAATTGTAATTTTGCTACTGTTAGGAATTGTAATGTAAATATCTGATATGCAACTCCAAAGAGGTTGCAACCTACAGGCTGGGAGCCACTGGCCTAGAGTTTGCCAATTAGGCTACGCTGGCCAGTGAGCCCCACCTGTCTCTACTTCCCCAGTGCTGCGGTTGTAGCCATGTGTTACCACACCTGGGTCTATGCATACGTGCTGGGGAATGAACTCGCGTCCTATGCTCATGCAGCAAACTCTTTGAGACATCTCCCCAGCTCTCTCTTGGAGAGTTCTTATTCGTCAGACTCACAGAAGAAATAATATATAAAGCGGAGCTAGCTTGGTGTTGTGTGCCTATAATCTGAGCCTATAATCTGAGCACTCAGGAGACTGACACAGGAGAACTGCCACAAGTTCAAAGCTAACCTTGGCTACATAACAAGGCCCTGTCTTGGGAAAAAAAGAAAAAAGCAGAAGAATGGTGGTATAGCGTGGAGATCACAGATCTACCTCCCTTTTGATCTTAGACCTCTAAGACGGAATGCAGGAAGTAGAATTTTAAAATTCCACTAAAGGCTGGAGAGATGATTCAGTGTTTACCAGCACTTTCTGCTCTTGCAGAGGACCTGGGTTCAGTGCCAGCACCCACAGTGTGGCTCAGAACAGTTTGTAACTCTAATTCCAGGGGATCTTCTGGTCTTCAAGGCTGTTAGGCATGCATGGCGGTACGCATACATGCATGCGGGCAAAATACCCACACACACAAATAAATAAAATCTTTTAAAGATCCATTAAGAGAAGTATTATTGGAAGGCCTGCAATTAAGTCATTTTCAAAAAGGCAGAAAGTAGATGGTCCTGAGAAAGTAAGGCAACTTCTATCTAAAATATGCCAAGGAAGGTAAGCCCAGAGCCAAGATGGGCAGTAGGAAGGGTCAAGTTCAGTGTAACTGGGCCCCGGATCACCTGTGCTGAACCAGAGCATTGCCCATGAGCTGCCATGGGATGGACGCTTAGTCATCTTTCAGTAGGTGCTCCTCTCACAGAGTCACCCGAACATTTGGAATTCCAGCCACCTTGTGACTTGCTTCTCATGTTTTGAGCCTAGACTCGTGGGTCCTGGGGACTGCCAATGTAGAGATGCCCACCTGCTTGCCAGACAGGTAACACAGCGAAATGCCCAGCCCCATGCAGACCACAGCAGCCTCTCCACTGTGACTGCCGCCTCCTAAGACCCTCAACCATGGTGTCATGAGAGCATTTCTAGAGCTTCCGCTTTTGTTTCCTTTTGTTATTTTCTTCTCTCTCTCTCTCTCTTTCTCTCTCTTCCTCCCTCCCTCACTCCCTCCCTCCCTTCCTCCCTTTCTTCCTTTCTTTTGTTGATTTTTAGGCTGGGTTTCTCTGTGTAGCCCTGGCTGTCCTGTCTGTAGACCAGGCTGGCCTTGAACTCGGAGATCCGCCAGCTTCTGCCTCCCGAGTCATTTTGCTGTCAGGCCTGTAGTCCTGTCTCAGGAACCCTTCCTATCGTTACTAAGCTTTCCTTTTCGTCAGGCGTAGGGGCACGTCTTCAGTCTCAGCACTCAGAAGGCAGAGGCACGTGAATCTCTGTGAATTGGAGGCCAGCCTGGTTCACAAAGAGAGTTCTAGAACAGACAGGACTGTTAGAGAAACCCGTCTTGAAAAAAAAATAGCTTCTCTTTTCATATAGCGACGTCACTGGTAGTTGATGTATGGTTCAAAGATGCTAAGACTTTTAGGGAACTATTCTTTTTAAGATGTATTTTTACTTCTATTTGTGTGTACTTGTGTGTATGAGAGGGAGAGAGTGAGTGTATGCATGGCTGTGGGTGTTCTTGGAGGTCAGAGGAGGCTTCGGATCCCCTGGAGTTGGAGTGACAGGCGGGTGTGAGCTGCCGGTTACTATAATGAGCACACAGGGCCACGAGCAAAGCCACACTAATAACAGCAGCTCTCAGCAAAGCCTGGGTCCTGCCCACCTCCTTCCGTGACCGCTCATCCGGGGTTGCAGGTGTCCGCAGGGTCGCTCCCTTGGTGGAGGTGTATGTCCCGCTCTTGTTTTACCTTGAGCTTGGTGGGCTCCTTCAAGCTCACATCTCTGAATTGTTATACTTTATTCTCACAGGAGAATTCTAGTCTTTTCTCTCACTTTCTAGATGTCTCATCTGATTTCTCTTGGGCTTCTTATTTCATTTGTTTATTTATTGTGTGTCTATTTCTGACTCCTTATCTTCAGAAGGTCACTGGCAAAGCTCAAGGCTGGGAGAGATTGGCAAATACCATCACATAATGTTTTTATGATTCTAATTTTCCTTTTTTTAGACTTTATTTTTATTAACTATGTGTATGTGTCTGAGACCCCCTGAAGCCAGGAATTCTGGCACTTGTGAGCCCCCTGAAGTGGGTGCTGGGAACCAAAACTCAGGGCTTCTCCAAGAGCAGAATATATTCTCACTGCTAAGTGCTTCTCCTGCTCAAGTTGCTCTCTGATGATCTATAATTTTATATTATTATCTCAGAATTTTAATAGTTTTAAAGATGTTTTTGATATGTATTTCTTATAATTTTTTAGCTTTTTTTTCTGTGAAAGGACCCAAATAACTTAGACTTCATTATAGGAACTACATAGCGGAGGTAACCAGTGTTTGGCTCTGACTGAGAACTGGGAGCTTTCATTTCAGATTATCATATGGCGTTAAGGTAGATCACCAGAAAGTAGTTTTGGATTGTTGCATGTCAGAAAAAGGCCATGTCATTTGGTATGGACTCAGGTCAAGCCAATGTCATTTAGAAAACCCTTTTATTTTTAACATTGTGCTGAGAGCAGGGTATAAAATGATGAACATTCTAGAAGTGATGTTTGCCTCATGAATTTTCCAGTCGAATGGGTTGAGATCAACAAGTCAAGGATCATATTGGAAGCACTGTGCCTTTGAGTGTGTTGACTCCCTGGGCACAGATACATGCAGGTAGAACTTGTTACATTTAGAAGCCCAGGCAGAGCTACTGAGTGCTGCCCTGGGGGAGGCTCTGGTATGTCACAGCCCTTTTCATCTCTAGGTGAGGCTCACATGCTTGAATCTGACATGGAATCTCCACGTGCACGCAATCCTCATTCATCAAATGCTGGTCTTGAGTAGGAGCTGGGCGTGGGCCCACATGATCAGTAAGAAAGGCACACGCGTGGTATCGCTCCCATGAGCATGATCGAAACGCTAGTGAGTCTACCGACACCACTCTAGTTAATCATGCTTTCTGTCCTGCAGCCTGGAATCACACCTAGAGAGTCACTCTCAGTGTGGGCCAGTGCCAGCAACCCACGTTTGCCCTCACTGCAGTGAGTCAACTTCCCTGCATTGCAAGCCTGGCTTCTGGCTTGTCATTCTAGTCTCTAACATAGCGTCAGGGAAGGGGTCAACAAAAGGCACTCAGTTTTTGAGACAGGGTCTCACTGTATCATCTAGGCTGTGGTGTGTGTGTGTGTGTGTGTGTGTGTGTGTGTGTGTGTGTGGTGTAGGCACATGTGGTGTCCAGACACATGCATGTGAAGATTAAGGAGGATGGGAGCTGGAGAAATGGCTCAGCGGTTAAGAGCACTGACTGCACTTCCAGAGGACCCGGGTTCAATTCCCAGCATCCCCACATGGCAGCTCACAACTGTCTGAAAATCCAGTTCCAGGGGACCTGACACCTTCACACCAATACACATAAAATAAAAGATAAATAAATCACAAAATTAAAAAAAAAAGATTAAGGAGGATATTGGGAACTCTACCACTTTCTGTTCTGTTCCCTTGAGACAAGGTTTCTCACTGCCCTGGAGCTCACTATTGATTGGCTAGGCCAGCTGGCCAGCAAGCCCTGGCAATCTTTCTGCCTCTGTCTACCCGCCACCCACCCCCAACTCCCAGGCACATATACACACAAACATGCTATACTGGTATTACAGGCCCATGTGATGGTTCCAAGTTCATTTGTTTATTTAATGTGGGTGTTGGAGACTCGAACTCAGGTCCTTATGTTTATGCAGTCTGCCCTCTTACCCAGTTGACCAGCTCCCTAGCCCCTGACCTTGAACTTTTGATTTTTCTGCCTTAGCTTTCCTACACTCTAGGATAGCAGGCATGTGTGCTTCCACACCCAGTTCTCAGAGTAATTTTTAATAATGACTTACCCATGAGATCACAATATGTTTTTAA